AAACATTCTATTTTTGTTTACAAAGGTATATTTTATCAAATTGCTGTAAGTTATAGATAGCTTAAGAAAAAAGAAAAGACAGTTCCTTACAACTAGAAAATAAGACATTAAAGAACCAGCAATTTAAGCGTTTAAATTGAAGCGTTTAAAACGCTTCAAACGAAAAATCATAAAAAATATTTTCATCAGTTAACTCAGTCTCATGTAATTTTTGGTTTTGCTTGACATTGGGTTAGCAGTTTTGTGAATCCATCAATTTCCCATTATAGATTTGAAAATTTTTACCCAATCCAATAGCATGATCTTAAAGTTATTGGAAACCTGTACTTGTCAGAGTCTTTTATTTATTTATTTATTTAACGAATGTCTTGTAATTTTGCATCATAGTTGCTTACAAATGCTTTCAGGAAAGAAATTTGGTTGTTTTTTTTTTTTTTGTGGCATACAGTGTTTTAAAATAATAATTAGAATTGTGACTGATAACATTACACCAAGATATGCTAGATTGCTAGGAATTCCATACATTTTCTGGGACACTCATATCAATAACAAACACAACTTGAAGGAGAGTGAGCCTCACTTATTATTTGACAATGCCTCTCCTGCAATTTAACATCTCAAATAAGCCTAGTTAGTTGAACATCTGTTTTTATAAGGAGAGGAGATAAGTTCTCATGAGATACTTCAACGATGCTTCTGGAAACTCCCAAAGTTAATTTGAGGTCAAAATGATTTATATCAGCATTCAATTTTGCGAAGCTGTCAAAAACGTCAAAAAGTTTAAAACACTTGATTAAATCGGATCACAGGTCACTGAAACAATAACAAAGTGACAAAAGATTTTAAAGGCAAATACAGAAAGTTGCATGGTTGCAAAAAACCCGGCTTTTTAGGATTAAAAAAGACTCATTTTTCTTAAATAATTAAAGAGCTAATAAAAGACAGCATGAAGCATAAGAAATCATCTTGATAAAACACAAAATCTTTGTTTTCTAGGCCGATTACTTAACAGGTAGAGAGAGAAACTTCCATGCTCAAGAGCAGACCAATATTCCAAGGTAACTTTGTCTTTTTAACAGAAAGAAAACCCAATTCTAACTTTGCAGCAGGACATTATTGAACTTTAAAGTATATATAAGAAAAAAAAAAGTATATATAAGAAATCTATTAAATTTTAGCAGGTGGACCACACATAACATTCCTCTTGACCGGACGCAGTAGCTCACACCTATAATCCTAGCACTCTGGGAGGCTGAGGCAGGAGGATCGCTTGAGCCCAGGAGTTTGAGGTTGCTGTGAGCTAGGCTGACACCACTGCAGTCCACCTCGGGTGACGGAGTAAGATTCTGTCTCAAGAAAAACAATTCCTCTTTCACAGGCCTTCTACAACTTTCTATATATGTTCAGTTTTCGTCTTAGTCTTTTTCTTCTTTTTTATTCTGGAACAATCTGTCGTCTTGTTTTAAGACAAAAGTACTCTCTTTTCCCCTTAATGAAAACATGTATCTTTTACATTTTTCCTTATTAACGATATATCAGTCTGGGCAACAGAGCAAGATCCCATCTCTACAAAAAATAGAAAAATTAGCCAGGCATGGTGGCACCGTGCGCCAACGCCCTACAGTCAGTTACTCGGGAGGCTGAGGCAGGAGGATGCTTGAGCCCAGGAGTTTGAGGTTGCTGTGAGCTAGGCTGGACCCACGGCACCTCTAGCCTGGGCACACGAGTGAGACTCTGTCTCAAAAAAAAGAGAAAAAAAATTCTTAGCCCTTAGTAACCTTAATTTTTAGCAAAATTAGAAGAACATGATTTCCAGTTTTTAATAACATGTTTCCCTATGCCATAACACAGGACATGCTAACCAGTGGACACAACTAAGTCTAGTTTTTTTTTACAAGAACT